TTTCTCCCACAAAACGCTACGTCCAGATGAACAGAATCAACTTTTGGAGATTTACTTACCTGAATGATTGAGCATGCATCAAGTTATTTATTTTACATTTATCATTTAATTATTCATATAAATAAATATGGAAACCAGCAAAACTGATTATTGACATGATTCCCTATTTACTTAATTCTCTGGAGTACAGGTGTGCAGAACATTTTTTATGTATCTTCTTTGGATGTCATCACAGGAGACTTCAGCTCAGGCCTGTGCATGGAGGCAGCAGTACATTTCTGCCTGCCGGTGGTCTTTATGCTTTACGTGCTCTCTGTCCCACTGGATTAACACCTGGCTCACTGTTTGCTGAGAAAGGCCGGACAGTAAATAATCAGGAGATGCAATGGTGGGTCAACTTTGAATAAAGATAATTATCTGAGTCTGCTAGAAAATATTTTCTCTACAACTTTATTAGAACTACTTTAGCTTTTAGCAACTTTTCTTACTGCAGGTTTTTATGTTACTCCCAGAAAAACAGGATGAGCTCTGGAAAGATTTCCGTGAAATCTTTTTCAGGTTTCAGGTTTCCATAGTGTGGTTTAAGGTGGTTTGAGAATGAGCAGAATAACCTGACATGCATGTGTCTGGGCTGTCGGAGTACCTGACAGAATCCATGATCCACACTGATCGTCCAACAATCCTGCTACCAGGGAACATTTCCACAACAAGTTCAAGTGATGCTCTCAAAGAAAGAAGTTTGAAGTAATGTTTCTGTAAAATGTTATTTCATAAAACGTCCCCACAGTGGACACGACAACAGTGAAAAGAAATCTCGATTATGGGACATTATATCAATCAGTGAATCAATCAGACAGGCCTTTATTTGTCACATGCAATGTTACACATACCTGTGTTGAAAATTTGACCGACCATACATATATTGCACAAAACATCACATTGGGAAGACAGGTCGGAAACAGAAATAAATGTAATGGTTTGTACAATAATTAGTGACAGAGCTGCAGTGGTGCACACAGTACATGACGGATCTTTTCCTCTGAGCAGAAATATTTACTGGTTATCTACAGAAAAGAATTTGAGAGATGAACATCTGAGTGCATTTATCCAAATAATCTCAACATCAGAGATGGAGAGGACAAAGTTAGTGAGACTCACAGAGACACAACAGAGCTCTGATTCAGAAGTGATACTCTGTAGTGACATCAGTGATGACATCATAATGATCATCCAGTCCCTGATCAGGGTGAGCTGGCAGGACTGAGACACGAATGTTATTTCCTGCAAAAATGTAAGAAGTGTTTCAGCTGTTAATTTATAGAGAATTCTGCATATTGATTAATCAGAGAACGATTCAAAGTGTTACCTTTAGTTCTCTGTCGACATAAAGACACGACAAGGAGAGTGGAGATAAAGTATGGACAGAACACCACCAGGTGGATAACTACAAGCTCAGGTGAAAATAAGTCAGGATGCAGAGTTGATGGAGTGGGAGGTGGTGTAGAGGTGGGTGGAGGTGTGGTTGTAGGTTTACCTGCAGAGAGAATCCCACCTGTTCAGGTGAATATGTGGATGAAATTTTGCAAACTTTAGTTGTTTTGTGCTTCTCTCTGTTCCAACCACTGACTTGTGGTCCAAAAGACTAAATAACTTGAATGGCTGCACAACATCAGACTACACGTCACGCCCTGGTTAATGTTTGTGAAGGTCTGAGGAGACGTGCTGCATACAGCGAGCTGTGTTCATGTACCTGCAGTGACAACACAAGATCACAAATCTTGTGTTTCTCCTCAGAATCTGTCAGTTAAGTTAATACATTATTATTCCTACATTCAGTCATCAAAAACATTTATGTTACTTGGGATACAATATAGTTTTTTCAGTTATCAGCACAAAGGTCCGATAAAGATTAAATGTGCTTTGCTGCAGCGCTCACGTGATC